TGTAGATCTTGAAGCTATCAATTCAACTGCAAGGGATCTCGGGGCGCTTCTTCTTCGAATGGAAATGTATTTAATTTTTTCAATTTTAATGTTACTTCTCTTTCTCCCAACATTTCCTTTTTACTTAGTCTCCATATCATCTGCTTTCCCCTCCTTTATTTGCGCCTGAAATTTCTGCCAAATGTTATACACTGTGCGTGGTGATATATTGAGCAAAACAACTGTGTATTTAAGTATGCCTTTCTTCATTTTTCCATTCACTTTATTGGCTAAAAGCATCTCAACAACTTTGTGTCTTTCAATTCCATTAAAAACGAGGTGCTTCTTTCCTAAATCTTGCTCTTAAAAAATGATTAATGTATTTCTTATCTACACGGGAGGGCTCGAATGAGATTGCAAGTGACCTGCATCTGAAAAGAATTCTAACTCAATTAAAGGAGGCAGGTGGATATCATGATCCATTTCAGAGAAGTGCAGGAAAGATGACAGATTAAAAGAGGAGAAGCTGCTTTATGAGTTTTGCTTTTGGCAGCTAATTATCTTGGTGGGAAATTGAAATGTTTTTTGGCAGATGACTATTTTATCCATGTAGCTCGTTTTTTGCGCAATATGGTGAAAACCCCAAATGTTTAAGTTTGATTTTGATTGTTCGTATGGTTTCCCTCCCTTTTAGGAAATTATTTGCCTTTTGGCCACATCAAAAAGTTGGATTGGACACTGAATTGTACTTTTCCACTTTATCAATTTCTTCTCTATTTTACTTGTATAAGGCAAGGGCAAAATAGGAAAATTAATATAAACTTATAAGCTTTCTTAATCCACGTGCCACTCAACTTTTGCACCTCAATTAGGGACAGCGGGAATACTATGTATAAAAAATCATCAATCCGCTTCCGATGTCATGCCCCTTTTTAAATTTAACTTACACGTTTGAAATATAGAAATACTAGGAGCTAAGGCAAAAATTTTACTAAAAATTAAACAATGAAAAAAAGAGACATATTTTTGAGATTTCTAAAAGTGAGATAAAAAAAACTAAGATAAAAAAACTAAGATGACCATTACACTCTTAGTAAATCCAATTGGCATGCTACATTGACTAATGTCACGATGACTCCATCCCATAATGAGCAATGTCACAATGACCACCGCCTTCCGGGCAGTGAGCATCGCAATTCGATCAGCGACCAATCGATGTTTGGGCAATGATGGACCAATGTGACACCCAGTATACAGTGACAACATAACCATCTCCCACACATAGGGTCCTATCTAGGATTGAAGTTTGGGGTGGGCCGCTATAAAGAATTATTTCAGATAAATTTTTAGATATATATTCTTACAAAAAAAAATAGGTCGGACCGGGTCCCATTTGCCCCCCTACCTTCGCCAATGCTCGCATAAGTAATGACAGTCGCTACACAACAAGTGACTGCCACCGTCCGGATAGTTAACACCACTCCCAACCCCACAACACCATTGCCCCACAATTCCCTAGTCTTGCACCACCTTCATTGCCTCACCACATCCTAGCCACATGCCACCATTATCATTCCACCCCGCCCCCGCCCCCTGCACCACCATCATTGCAAGTTTGCAACCCTGACCCAACCTCCCTCATCTCCCCAACCTTCCCATCCCAACCCTTGCCCACCTCTGCCGTCGCGTCCCAACCGCGTTGTCGCCCAACCATGCCTACACTCCCCCAGACCCCAACCCTAGCCACTGTCCTCCAATGTTGCTCCCACTATCCAGACCAAACCCTAGTCGTCATTCGCATTCAGAACACCTAACGATCATCCTGTGTTGCCCCTGATCCCCAAAAACAGCCCCCACCTTGCCCCAAGATATCTCCACCGACAACAACATCCATCATCGTTGACACTATAACTCATATGATTTAACAATAGCCTTTTTAACAAACAAGACGTAGTGGATCAATGAAGAAAGTGACGGAGTTCAAAATTTTGGGCGGAGGCGGTTTGCATACATCAAAGGAATAATAAGAAGAAGATGATTTAGGTGTGCGAAGTCAGTAGAGTATCCGTCAGGGAAGTAACACAGTCATCGTCACCAGAGTCTCGATGTCGTCGCCGGGTTCTCACCTTCAATGATGGCGCATCTGGAGCACAACATCTCACTCCATGGTGCAGATGGGATTGTGGAGACAGAAGGTTATTTTTTTTAGATTTATATTAGGGGTGTGCCACTTCAGTTATATGTGGTCTCTTTTTCGTTGAATTAAGATTTGATATTAATTTTGTCAATTAGAAACCCTATAATATTACTTTTGTCATTCTTTCAAAATACTATTGAACACATATTGCATTTATAACATGCCATACAAAAGGATCAACAATATTTTATTCTATTATTCTTTCAAAAATATATATTTCATTCTATTATTTATTGTTTTAGTTGAACAGTAAATATATATAGAATAAAATTATATCATGGTGCTTAGTTTTTTTTAAACAATAACTTTATTAATGAATATCATTCAACAAAAGTTCAGTAATACAATCAGGAGGATAATTTAACCAAACATGATCAGACACAGAAACGGCAAGGTTAGCTAAAGCATGGGCCACACGTTTTGTTGATCGATTCACAAAGTGGACACTTATTTTGGTAAAATCAGCCACCAAATGTCTAATGCTAGCAAAAATTCCATCGTTATACGAGAAGACATCTACTGAATAAACACCTTGAACCACTGTTTGGCATTCGACTCAATTATCACCCGCTGCCACCCCATAGCCGACGCCCACCGCTTTGCAGCCTCCATTTCTAAAGCTTCTGTAGTACTTGATGAGAACATGCCTACCTCCATTACACATTTCCTAGCCACAAATTCCCCTTCAGAATTGCGAGCAACCATGCCCAACCCCCTCTAAGGACCTTGAGTATCTAGAGCAACATCTAAGTTGATTTTAATCACTCCATGGCAAGGTGGTTTCAAGAGAGCTACCTCTGACTTTTTCGCCTTGACTGCTTTGGCCATTTGTGCCGATCGCCACCCCTCCAACATAGCTTCACCACACGCCACAATACCCCTCCAATTTATCTTGCTTTGGCGCTAAATTATCTCATTCCTAGCTTTCCATAAGCTCCAACTCATCATAATGAAATGGCAAAACTCCTCTGATGAACAATGCAAACTTACATGGTTGGCCCAATCTGCAAAAGGCAACCCAACAACCTGAGTGTAGTCCCGGCTTTGGTTACCCCAAACTTGTTCCGCAATAGGGCAATGCCTAAGAACATGCAAAGTGTCCTCCTTCGACCCTGCACACGCGGAAAACACTGGCCAAACTGGGACGCATCTTTGGATGAGCCGATCCTTAGAAGGCAAAAGGCCCACACAAGCTTTCCAAAAAACAATTTGACTTTTGGTGGTAGATACAACTTCACATTCGAACCCATGCTGGAGACTTAACATATTGTTTTGTCAAAGCTCGATAACAACTACGCACCGAGTAGTGCGCTTTCGTGTCATCCCCCCAGATTAACTCATCTCTCTGTTGGTGTCCTCTAAGAGAAATGTTGAGAATAGCTCGTTGATCTTCCTTATTAAACGGATCACCAACAATGTCTTGATCCCAGTTACCACCATCCGGTGTCATTAAAGTATTAACTATAATGTCCTCCAAACCTGGAATCGCCCCAGTAAGTGGTCTCTCTCCTAACCCCGTTTGCAGCCAATTATCCTTCCACACACAGATTGAATCTTCGTTGCCTACTCAGTGGACCAGACCCATTCAGACATATGAAATATCAGCAACAATGGTGCGCCAGATCAAAGAGGGATTACTCCCACACTTAGCTTCCTGTATATTACCATGAGGATAATACCGAGCTCTTAAAACTTGTCCTACCAGAGAAAAGGAATATTTTAATAAATGCCAAACCCGTTTTCCCAACATAGCATAGATTAAACTCCCGGAGCGTTCGGAAACCCAACCCCCCATAATTTTAGGAACACAAAGATCATCCCACGTCATCCACCGAATGCCCTTGCCTCGGGAGATTTTACCCCTCCACCAATAAGCATTCATGGTGCGTTCAATAGTCAAACATAATTTCGAGAATATGCATGCTCATACCATTATATCAATAAAACAACATTAGACATAATATCCAATTGCCCTGTAATGCTTTATAAAAGTTGACCCAAAAACATGATGTGCATTGTATAATTCAAAAAGTTTTGTGGTGAAGAAAAATGTTAGACAATTTTTTAAAGATCAGGAGGAGTGAACTTTAATCAACCCTCACCTAGCTTATTAGGCTATTTTTAAACTAAAAATATGAGGTTACTTGATTAGAATCATTATTACTACATGTTTGTGATTTAAAAATTGAGAAATAAGTGAAATTTACTTTTCTCAATATTTTTTTAAGTTCATCTCACTAAAAATGTCACATACAAATTTCATAAATTTTGTGTTGTTCTAAATCATTCTTACTTTATTCCTATTTTTTCATTGAGAAAAGGGGCAAATAAGCCCACGTACTAACAAAAAAGATCAAATAAGCCCTTATATAGAAGGCTCTATCTGGCCGTCGCCATTTGAGGCGGTTCCCGGTGGAATTTTTTGATGAAATTTTTTGAGCATCTTATTCATTAATTTTAGTTTACTCATACCAAATTTCAGCTGAAACCTCAATCGGGAAGACATTCAAATGAATTCTTGAAGATATTGCGCAGTTATCTTCAAGAATTCATTTGAATGTCAATTCCGATTGAATTGTGAGCTGAAATTTAGTATGAGTAAACTAGACTTAAAATGAATAAGATGCCCAAAAAATTTCATCAGCAAATTCCACCGGGAAACTCCCCAAATGGCGACAGTCGGACATGGCTTATTTGACATTTTTTTGTTATTACGTGAGCTCATTTGAACCTTTTCTCTTTTTCATTCAATATCAATCTCATATATCCTTTGAATATTTCTTTTAGACTGAAATTTGCTAATATGATCTGCTTTGATATGATTTGCTTTGATTTGATCTGATATATTTAAGTCTAGTATAGTCTAATTTGTTCCGGTCTGTTTTACATCCTGACTGAGTCACCGTGACTTACATCCTCCCATGTGCTCTGTCGGGTCGGGGCGTGGGGCGCTTGGGGTTGGCGATTCAACCTTTTGGAACTAGTAAATCTGAATGAAAGAGGAATCCTTTGCCGAAGACTCCATTACCATTACAAGACTTTCCCAGAAGTTACTTGCAGATAAAAGACTGCAACTTTAATTAAACAAAGAAGAAAAGAGAGTGGCGTCCAACCAATGCCACCTCCTCCTAAATTTCTTCCCAATTCCCCATTGGCCCGGCCCCACCACGCAATCAATCTTCTTTATATCCCTCTCATCCCCCCTCTACCCTTCTCAGAGGTAAGCTCTGTTACAGCACAAGCTTCCCTCCATCCATTAATGGCGTTTCCGCCGGAGTCCATTAAGAGCTCAAAGCTAGAGAGCTACAATAGCTATATCAAGAGAACGAATACCACCAAATTTATCGCCGCTTCTTCCAAATTGCTCTTCCGAGCGACCCTTTTGGTGGCTTTGCTTCTCATATTCTTCTTCACCATCAATTACCCGCCGCTGCTGCCGAATAGCTCCGGCAATGGAGTCCAACGCGCTATTCACACCACCGCGCATAATTTGCTGTCGTCGACGCTTTACGGCGGCGGCGGGGTCTCGTGGGAGAAGCAGGTCCGGCACTCGTCGACGCCGCGCCGGGCGCACGGGATGTCGGTGCTGGTCACCGGCGCGGCGGGGTTCGTTGGGTCCCATTGCTCCCTGGCTCTGAAGAAGCGCGGCGACGGGGTTCTGGGATTGGACAATTTTAACCCCTACTATGACCCGAATTTGAAACGCTCTCGCCAGAAGCTTCTGGAGAAGAACCAGATCTTCATCGTGGAAGGAGATCTGAACGACGGCGTTTTACTCTCCAAGCTTTTTGACATTGTTCCGTTCACCCACGTCCTCCACCTCGCCGCCCAGGCCGGCGTTCGTTACGCAATGCAGAATCCTCTGTCTTACGTCAGCTCCAACATCGCCGGATTCGTGAACCTTCTAGAAGTCGCGAAAGCCGCCGATCCCCAGCCGGCGATTGTCTGGGCTTCTTCTAGCTCAGTCTACGGGCTGAACACAAAAGTCCCATTCTCGGAGAACGACCGGACAGATCAGCCGGCGAGCCTCTACGCCGCCACCAAAAAAGCCGGCGAGGAAATCGCTCACACTTACAACCACATTTACGGGCTCTCGATGACTGGGCTGAGATTCTTCACAGTCTACGGGCCTTGGGGCCGGCCTGATATGGCCTACTTCTTCTTCACCAAGGATATGATCCAAGGGAAGCCCATTAACGTGTACATGACCCAGGACCAGAAGGAGGTGGCGCGTGACTTCACGTACATCGACGACATCGTGAAGGGGTGCGTCGGGGCGCTGGACACGGCGGAGAAGAGCACCGGCAGCGGCGGAAAGAAGAAGGGGCCGGCGCAATTGAGGGTTTACAACCTGGGGAACACGGCGCCGGTGTCGGTGAAGAAGCTCGTGTCAATTCTCGAATCCCTTTTGAACGTCAAAGCGAAGAAGAATGTGGTCAAGATGCCACGAAACGGCGACGTCCCGTTCACGCATGCTAACGTGAGCCTCGCCTTCAAGGATTTCGGGTATAAACCGACCACGGATCTCTCATCCGGGTTGAGGAAGTTCGTCAAGTGGTACGTTAGTTATTACGGGACGCAGCCGAGGGTAAAGAAGGAAATTAACAACAGCCACTAGCAGTCCAATGATTAAGCTACGGGGCCCACACGAAAGCAGCGGTGCCTTTTTTGTTACGCCACATATTTATTCTTTCCTGCTTAAATATAATAATTTCTAAAAATTAATTAATGGTTATGTAATTTGAATTTTATATACGCATACGATAGAATTTTGTGTATAGAAAAGAAAAAAGTTACAGAGGAAAGAAATATGGGAAGGAAGGTGGAGCAAATGTAGATTTGAAAAGTGGAAGGGTAATAATGTGATAAAGCCTTATAGAAGGGTATACGGGTAATTAAATATTACTCCGTTTGATAATATGCGTGTATTATTCTGTATCAAAATGGTGCAGATAATCTGTCATTAGTAAAATGTCAACCTTTGTAAGTTTCTGGAACAGCTATTATTGTTAACATTCTTCGTATAAATCGGAATCAGTAATGATGCTTATTATTTGATCACTTAACAACATCTATAAGACGTACAAGTGGTTATAAAAGTCAGTACAAAGATGACTAAAAAAGGTATTAAGACGTGTAACGAAAATTATAATTAGTACGGAGTATTTTTATTTAAAAACAAATGGACGACTACTTAGGGGGCAAGTATATCGCTTTCGATTACGAAATTTGGTATTACTCCGTAGTACTTATCATAATAATAATAATGCCTTTCTATCCGAAGTGGTTACCTGCATTTTCATGAGTTTTTCAACAATTTGATCAAAAGAATTTTGTTAAGTTTTGACAAATTTGAGCCAAAATTTATGCAAAGCCGCTTTGCCATAAAAATAGCACGTATTCTTAACAATAAAGTGCCGATCCACGATAAATTAGTCCGAGTCTACTTGATTTTTTGGTCATGATATATGATAAAGTTTAATATTTCAACTCATATTCACTCCGTCCGTTAAAACTTGACCGACACATGGATTAACAAAATAGAAATTGTGTGGTTCAAATTTGTGCAGATGAAAGAATTAACTGAAGTCACAAATTCTTTATTTAAAAGGTAAAAGTGACAAAGTTCATGAAACAATCCAAAAAAAAGTTGACAAAATTTAAAAGAACGAATAAAATATTACGGAGTATTTAATAAAGTTATGTTGTAAAATCTAATACTCCGTAGTAAACTTGAACAGTACTTCATGAGAACATAATTGTATTGCATTTTTTTTTTTTTTTGCGAGAACATAATTGTATTGCATTTTAAACAAGTACTAACAAATGTTGTGCACGATGTGTAGCGTTAAGCAGGTTTATAGTATGAGAAATAACTAAAGTTCTAATCCAAAATCGATGCAAAGACATTTCGATTCTAGTACTCCGTATTATTATTTGAAGTTGCCCTAATGAATTGAAAACATATCTACAATTCAAGCACGTACAAAGCTTGAAACCGAAATGAACAATCTATTTTAGTATTTTCGTTCAAAAAAAATCTGCACGAATTGAATGGAATAAACGAGTGTCACGTCCAACCCAATTCGACTCGTTCCCATCCATGCAACGGCACTTATACCAAGGTAATTATATAGAGAAGTGATCAATATCCACCTGTCGTACATTCATGTCTCAGACACACAAATACAGAAAAATGTTTGGACAGACAATTCTCTATGCGTGAGACAAACAAGTATACAAAAACTGTACATCAATATGTGTACCCTAGCACAACTGCTCAATTATATATGGAGTACATATTACAAATTTAAAAAATCAGGCCAGGTTTACACGGCTAGATGTGGGTGAATTTAACCCGAACAAAGTTGTCTAATGAATTTGGAGGTCCCGTTCCAAACGTAAAATCGAGGCGCATATTAATATATATTTTTTTAAAAAAAGTATCAATCTAAATACTAATACTAAAATCAATTGAATACTTATCAAATAATGTAATACAAAATTCTAAGAGTCACTTAATACTTGTTCTAAAGCAACACAACTTATCACTTAATCAATTTGAGTAAAACAGGAGTAAAAGGATTGACAAAAAACTTTATTTTACTGATTAGTATTAATATGCGGATATATTATTACTATGTACTACTAATAATAATTTTTAAAAATTGGGGCCCCGTAAATCGGGGAGCCCTGTTCTATAGAACATGTTAAAGTTGAACGTGCTAAAAACCGGCTCTAAACCCGAATGAGAAACCCAAACGTTTTTCGGTAATCCTAGTTCTAACTTCTAAGGCCCGTTGTGATATACCCTCACTCATAGTCTCATAGCTGTTCTAGCCTGTCCGCAGTATGGTTGGGTCATTGAATTGATTCTTTACGTACCCGATTCTGATTTGAACCGTATCCAATTTAGCTAATTGCAAGTTGCAAACTGCCAACCCCCATGGCTGCTCCAGTTTGGCTCAAGCCACTGGCCACATGTGACTGACCCACGCCTGTGTGGTTGGACTAAGTAAATAATAAAGTTTTTAATTAAAACAAAAATCCTAAAGTATATCCGTAAAGTAATAATTTCTCCATTCCACGCCTAAACAATAAGATTAGAACTAACTTTACCTGTTTTCTCATTCTTAACTGCTATCATAACTCATAAGCATCCTTGCCGCGATCATTACACTAAGAAAACTTTAAATTTATAGGGGAAGGCCCACCTTATAAATTAAGTCAATTGCAACCTATTTCCTCAAGCCATAGTGACTTGTCATAATGAATTACTAATAACATGATGAAGGCCTCCCAAAAAAATTATACATTTAATTAAAGTTCTAAAAATTGGTTGAATTCATATATGATTAAACAAAATATTGTATGTAAATCGGGTTCACAGACAAAAAAATAATTCACAAACATAAGTGGTTGTAAGAGCGGGTACATGTACATCAAGCTTTATTGATGACTAAAAATGGCTTCTTAGATAATATGGAGTACTACGTAAAATTGAAAAATATGCATATCATTCTTTCATTTCACTAGAAGTTTTATTTAATTTTGAATATATGGTATCATTGTCGGTGATTAGCTAGTGTCAATGTCACAAACACCAATGTTGGGATATTGGGTCCAGGCCCAATATCCCTAGGCCCAAATCCGGGAAGAAGCAGCGGGCCCAAGACAAATCCAAAGAACTCCCGGACGGCATTCGGGATGAAACTTGTACTTGGAACATTCCAGGAATCACTTACGTCAAGGTGCCAATACCCAGATACCGATCGGCGTTCGGGAACTTCCATAACAAGGTAACGCCCATGGCGGGGGTCCTACACACCGAACGCCATGCCCGAACGGGCGGTCAGCAAGTGGAGGCCGCATTTAATGCTGGAGCATGGCGGCTGCAAGTGGGGGGATGAGTGCTTACATGGCAGAGATGATAGCCTACCAAATTCGGCCACGTGTCCACCTTACCCATCCCCATTTTAGTATAAATACCCATGTTTAGATCATTGTAAAGGGTTAGCATTTTAATACTCAGAACTTAGCAATAGATTTACATCTTCCATCCTCGTAATCTCATATTCATCTACCGTTCGGGTAGTTCCAGTGTAATCACATATTCAATAAATATCAGTAAGCTCCTGAGTTGAACGAATATCTCACTTTTATATTTTATACACATTTTAAATCCAACCCAATATCCCTACAATATCCAAGGCTTGTGTTGGGCTTTCGGATCTTCGGGAATAAACCTCAACATTGGCGCCGTCTGTGGGAAGCTGTTGATTCTACAATTTTATCTAATCTTATCTAGTTATCTTAAAAAAAAAGGACTATTACTGACTTCTTAGTTGATGAACAGGACTTGTACTATTGCTGTTGTTTCCTGGGAAGCTGTTGATTCTAGAATTTTATCTAATCTTATCTAGTTATCTTAAAAAAAAAAAAAAAAAAAAAAAAAAGAGAAGAGGGAGAACAATGCTTCCAAAGAGGCTTGAGTTAAGAGAAATATTACAGGCCAAACGGCATCAACAAGCCGAACGGCATCACCACAAACTCAGCCAGAAGTCTCAACTTGATCCATAGATGTCATTCATCTCGATCCAGGGGGAGCCATCATCTCAGCAAAAAAAAAAAAAAAAAAAAAAAGAGAGAGAGCGGACTCAGCTTGGGAGATGGTGTAAAAGATCTTGAGTAGGACGAACTGGGCGGACATCCGAAAATGTAGGGTGGCCGAGCGGGGGATCGGGACTCTGGTCTTAAAATCTTGCCTTGGCTATGCAGCTCGCCCGAACCACGATGTAGTGATTTATTGTGGGGGAACCCGAGCTGTAACCTGGAGGCGAGTCTCCATTCTGGCAGAGAATAAGGGGGAGACCCGGATTGGGAGCCTTATTCTCAATGGTCCAGGATGGACATCTCAACCTCATGATATGGATGACCCCGGACGGTAAAACCGACGGTATGCATCGGAATTATGGATTTGGAAGATGGCAGACACTACACGAATTGTGAAACTGTCTTGCAGCAAGAAGTGATTGCCTTGCGGATAAGGAAAAACGCGGATGATAACCCGAACAGGCTGTGTGACACCGCACCCGGGTGTACTTGAATTTGAAACTCAAAATGTACTCGAACTTCCTAGCGAATAAATTTCGTGTGATTGATTGATACATTTAATTTATGTGAGATTAATTAAATTATTCTTCGGGTCCATTATATGAGAATGGGCTACCAAATATTTAGTTGGGTCATCATAATAAATTATAGAAGCCCAATAAAGTGCCAAATAAAGCTGATAAAAATATTTGGACAACCCGAGTGCTATTTTGACCCAACCTGCCAAAAATAGCGGGAATAATTGGGAGGAACTTTCTACACCCAAACGGGATTCTTCCTACATGCATTGTATGCTCCAAATAATGATTTGGAGACAAGAAAATATGATAGGTGCGGACAAGGGGAGGAGGAGGAAGTCTCCTAGAGACAAAGCCACACCCTCCATGACCCTACCCCTTGTTTTATTGGTTGACTTAGAGGAGTAGAGATGAGCTCCTATCATTGCACTCATACGAACCAACCAAAGCCTAGGAAGTGCTCTCAAAGTTCTTTAGCTTGAGGAGCCAAGGAGAGAAGAAAATCCAAGGGGAAAAGGATTGTTTTTGAGGTAAGAACTTAACAAACAATCTTTAACTAGTATTATTTTGTTGGATTTTTAAGGAATCACATGATGGATTAAATCATGAGTTCTACACGTTTAAAAGTGTAGAATATTGATATAAAGTGGTGGTATTTAACTTAGAAGAGTTGGTGAATCGATAGGAGTCGGAATCGCCGGAAACCGCCACTTATAGGGAGCTGTTCGTAGCTGCAGACCACGAAAGCCGCCCACCTTTGGCAAAAGCCGCCCGGCTTTCGTCTGCTGGTCAGATTTTCCACTTCTAATCGGTTTAGAACGGGGATTGATCGGAGGGCTTAACAAAGGCAACTATTGTAGCACATCACAAGGTGAGGATGGCTGACTATATTGCTTATAATCTTTGGGTTAATTTCATAAGATTACCTAAAGTAA